CAGGGAATTGTGTAGAAGGTAGCGGTAAGTTAAAAAATGTTTAGCATGACACAGGATACTGGCTTTGAAAGTGTTAGAATGACAGGTTAGCAATATAAAATGTGCCAGAGTGATATGCTGTATTTTTGTGAACCTACCACTCAACACTTTTTTCTAGGTCGGTGATAAAAATCACACAATTATCAGGTAGATTGAATCCACACCAGTGTGGAATAAACAAGATATCCTTATGTGCATGCACTCCAGATAGAGAGGAGTATACTCTAAAGGCACATAATGTGTGTCATCTATCAGAGCTCTTTAAAAAGAAAAGAAAAAATCAGGAGAGCTATCTCCAAAAAAACCCCAAACAAACCCCAAAACATTTTTCTAGAGTTTGGAAAGTGTTTTAGTACAAAGTAAATCACATCAATAGGATATGCATCTCCTTGAGGTTCAAAACTCAAGTGAACACGCACAAAATGACATTTTATGTGCAGTTTCTGAAAACCAATATGGTTCTATTGCTACAGGCTGAAGTTTTCCAAGAGACCGTTGTAGAAAATGCACCGTATTTAGAGCTGGATCATCCCACGACAGCTAAACACAAGCTAAATATGCAATAATAAACTCTAACGTCAAAACAACATATATGCATAACACAAATTATATAAAAAATTGCAAGTCCTTTCTGGCAAAGCCCTAAATACCTAATTAACTGCAACGGCTGTCCACTGGAAATTATTAGATTATATTTTACAATACAGCGGGGCAGGTGAAACTGCTTAAGGAAATACTGCTTTAACAGCCTGCTTTGCTGTGGGATCCAACACAAGCACACACATACATGTTATTCATTCCTACTTTTTAAGTATAATCTCTCTAAGCAGCTCGGGGAAGGGCTTCCTGGCAGCAACCTGCAGTCTTCGCGAACAACGTAGCTGAGCCCCGCATACTTGAGATGGCATTGATCATTTTAATAAATCGCACGGCCGTTTCAGTCTGTGTTGCATGTTAATGCCCCGGCATCTGCAAAAAGTTGTCTAGTTATCCCTTGCATAATAGCAAGCAGGCAAATAGCTTGCAGAGGGAGGTAATGCAACTGTGCAAGAAATAGGAGGAGGTTGTGGGGGGGAAAAAAAATCCCTCACCTTTCTGTTTTGGTCAAGGAACTCCTCTTCTAGTGAGGCAAAGTCCTAGACAATCCAGTGAAATATTATAAAAAGCTGTAATGCATATTTGAAAAGCTGATAAATCCTGCTCTCCTTGCCATTCCTCACTAATCCTTCTTCTGTCTCCCAGATTTCAGTACACAGAGCTGTAATCCTCCGGAGTACCCCCTCAGTGCTTTGCCTGTATCTAAGCTCTGCACTTCAGTACCTCCAGCTGTTTATATCAGTAACTAACCAAGCAGCAAGATATCATATCCACTCTGCACATGCTCACTGCTCACCAGCCGTTGCTGCTGCCAAGCTAGGACATCTCCAGGGTCCTAGTGACTCACTAGGCCAGTGTTCAGGGAGCCAGGGGTTGGAATATATCAGGGACATTTATATTTGATGGGGAGTCTGAAAGGAGGGAGAGATCCCCTTCCCTTCTCCGTGTAAACTGACGGGAAACAAAGACTTGCACTGTGTGTTGCACCGTGTCCAAACCAGAGGCTGCAATCTGTGCTTGCTTTTAATAATGCTTGCCCTTTTTTCTGGGTAGACCCCCCCCCACCCCCTCTCTTCATAGATAAGCTTTGCAGCTTACAGGTTTGGACAGACCCATCTAAGGAAGCCAAACAAATCTAATCAGCGGCTGCACAGATGATCTGTGCCATCCTCTGAGTGAATGCTGTAATAGAAATTATTTTTTTTTATGCCTCTTTCGCACTAGGGGCAGATCTGGTTTTGGAGCTACTTCTTCCTAGACACACTCCCAACAGGTGAGCGGAGGATTCCACGGAAGCCATTCATACGTGGGCAGGGAGATTTCAGGCAGCAAATTGATATTCCAGGCGCAGGTGGAGGGAAATAAATAATTTATAAATGTGAGAGCTGAAAGATGGTTCACTCCCTGTCCTTAGGACCAACTGATCAGCAGTATCATCTTCATGGGGTATTTGGAACCCAGGGTCCTGCTTGTTATATGGGTTAGTTTTTTTCTTTAAGCACGTGCTCTTTTTTTTTTTTTTTTTAATGAGATTTGGAATTGAGATCCGGACTCAGATGTTTCATCTGGATTTGAACTTCTCCATAATGGTTAAGTGTTTTGGATTAGACTGTTAGAGGCTTCAGACCTGCAAGCCAAAATCAGATGCAGCTGCAGATGCCACCCCTTGCCCTCCGAGTTTGGGTATTCAGATTTGTCATGCTTAATCTCAGCCATCTCTAGCTACAAAAGAACAGTGCCACATTTTATTTTAAACCAGTGGTCCTCAACGTTTTGAGACTGAAGGCACCCCTTGTTAGACTCAAAGAACCTCTCAGAAAATGCCAACTCTTAGCTTTTACTCTTCTTTTTCCATGGAGGAAACCTCCCCCCACAGCAATTCTTCTGTTGCAAAGAACTCAGAAAGACTATAACAGGTCAGAATGTTTTGGACCTTATAGATTCCTATTTGAAATCTCTAGATTTATCCTGTGAATTAAAGGTGGTTAGGTGTTTGCACACCTAACAGTGCTAATATTGCTGTGGCACCTTGGGGCACGTGTAGACGAAACGAGGGGCATATGTGCACGACACTTCAAAGCGGGTTAAATGCTTTTGCACCACTTTAATGGTGTTGGTGTTTGCATGCCTCAGCGATGTATTGCACATTAATTCCAACCGCTGTAGCAAAATCAGCAGCGTAATGCGCCTTAAATGACTTGGTGCAGCAAACTAAAACTCAGTTTGCTGCCCTACAGCTGCGAAACGAAGCACCGGGCTCCTGGGCTCTGCAGGAAGCCTATACAGGCAGCCTGGCAGCAGCCCAGAAAAAAAAAAAAGCGGTGAACCTGATTTTTTTTTCTTTTTTTTTCTTTTTTACCCCCTGCCTGCCTGAGCTGCACAGGAGCCTGGTGCTTCCCTCCGTGGCTGCAGTGCCCCCCAGGACCAACTGAGCCAGGTGCCTGTGGCCAGGTGCTGCCTGGGGGGGAACCACCGCTGCTGCGGAGGGAAGCACCAGCCCCCCTTGCAGCCCAGGGACCGCTCCCCTCCCCACCACTGGAGGAGCAGGTACATTCGGGTGCTTTAAGAACCCACGGCTTCAATTTAGGGCCCGCGTTTCATCTACACACACCCTTGGTTGAGAATCACTGCTTTAAACTAAGAGGAAACTCAGACCCTGCCCCAGCTTCTGCCTTGTGCCCGAGTCTGCTGTCGTCTTCATATCAGTTAATATTTTACTGTGAATAGCCCTTTGTTTTCGGTACAACTGTGAACAGAGACCACTACAGGACCCCTTGACCCAGTTCTGGCTCTGTGAAGTCGAGAGGCTCTGATTGTCACGGTCTACCCGGGTAGATGGTCTAACCTCCACCCAGTGCAGGAGCAGTTGAATCCAGGGTTGTATTTCAGTCTGTTATAAGCAATAGTGGCAAATTACAAGAAAGCACAGTCCTGGACTTAAAGGCACCCAAAGTTTGGAGCTCTGGTTGGGCTCACTGGTTCCGTGGTACATAATGGACAATATTAAAGCTTAAGTAGCACATAGACCTTGTGTTTGCTCCTTGTATCAAGAGGGAACTCTACTATCTGTGTGCTGTACTGTTTGGTTCAGGATCTCTTGCTTTGGTCGCTCCTCTGGGCAGCCAGGGCCGAGTTTGTAATTTGACTTTTGGTTTACTTGGGGTTCTTTCAGATGAAAATGGGTTTTTCAAGCAAACAAATACAGGTATCTCTCTGGCTACTGGAGCCAGGAAAACAATTTACAGGAACAACAAGGAAGAGGAAAAGACTCCTTTCTCTGCTAGTTATGATTTGTGGGACACATCTTCAGCCTTATTGAAGTCCTATCACACCGGGCTCCTTATTTAGTTTTAAGCTACTCGGCTGGATGCTTGCCTCTTCCTTTCCTGGTGTATTAAGATAGGAACATGGCTGCCCTGCCCGCCCCAGCTCCGGCCCTTTAAGGAACTCCCCCTCAAAACCCTGCCCTCACAAGTTCCTGCCTGACAGGGGGTGATCCCCACTGCCCCCCGCTGCTCCGTGCCGCATGGGGGGCTCGTCCATGAGCCCCCTGAAGCCCCAAGGCTGCTGCAGAAGCCGGTGAGTTGCTTTTTTCCGTGTTTTTTTCTTAAAGGGTCGGAGCTGGGGCAGGCGGGGCAGCCGTGGCAGGGCTGGGGGAGTGGGAGAGGGGGCCATGGGCCTCGTGACAGGCCTCCTACACAGGGTGGGGCGGTGGGGATTTCCCCCCCTCACCCAGTAGCACCTGGTGAGTGTGAGTGGGGCTTTTTTTTTTTTTTTTTAAAGCACTAGGAGCTGGGGCGGGCAGGGCAGCCACGGGGAAGGGGGTTGGGGACGGCCCTCCCATGGTCCCCTCCTCCAGCCCCTCCTCCCCCAGCTCCAAGTCAGCTCCAGCTCCCTGCTGCAGCGAGCGGGGACTGCCCGAATGATCGAAGCTCTCCAGATCTTTTCTGAAGATTCGGAGAGCTTCCAATAGATTCAGACCTTTTTATTGGGCCCCTGATTCAATTTGGATTTGGAGATTCAGCCACCGAATTGGGCCGAATCGCCACCCGAAGCTTCACGCAGCCCTAGTGAATACCCACACTTACAATTCAAAGGGGTCTGCACCTCCGTTTGAAATTTTTAGGGATCCGCAAATGAGAAAAGGTCAAAAACGACTGGCTTAGAGCATCCTTGAGGTTGCTCTAGTTTATTGCAAGGGATGTTTTGGGTCCAGGCTGCCTTGGGTTTGGGAAGTTGCAAGATGTTCTCTTCCCCTCGCCCATCAGCAGTGCCGGGTAGCCGCTAAGAAAGCGGATCATCTGGCTCCACATATTGTGTTTGAATTCATTGCCAGATCAAGTCAACACCTGTGTGTCTCGGGAAAGTCAGCTTCCACGTCTCTGTGTCTTATTCCCCTCCGGGGTGGCAGCGTGGTGCAGTGACAGAACCTGAGTTCCACTCTCTGACCTTGGGCAAGTCTCTTGGCTTCTGCGTACATCTCTCTCTTTTGTCTGATGTTTCCGTTTCATCTGCAAGCTTATCAGGATGTGAACTGCCCCTCCCTGGCAAAAGGGAGCTTTTGTCTTGCTTGGGTCATGAGGGACTAAATAAAAATGAAAGATGACCCTGAAAATGGCAACTTTGATCTGTTTATCTGCAACAGGATGTGCCTGCTTTTATTATCATATCTATGTTAGGTGGCTGGGCTGGTGAAAATTATCACCTTGAATAAATTGGCCAGTTCTTTCAGAAACCTCAGGTTTTTCTTGGGCTGAAATTCAAGAAGGGAAAATTAAGGGGTTTGAGCCATTATACCATTTGCATGAAGTCTGACAGTCCTTCAGACTTGATAGGATGTAAATCTGAACTGCTAAAATCCTTTTGTTGATAGTAACAGGTCAAGCATTTTCTGGGGTTTTGCATATTGACAAGACTACAATTGCAGTCATTCTGGTGGATTTCGAGTAACAGGGTGGCCTCACTACACTGTGTTTTGTGTCTTTCAGCAG